ATTGTGTGAAAAATCATCCTCAAAAATTTTAAATTTTTGCCTTAAAACACCTTTAAAATCGCATTTACCGTAAGACCATCAAAAAAGGAGCTTGACAAAAAGGATAAAAAGTTCTAGTGTCCAAAAATGCGTCAAGCCTGGGGGGGTGCAGAGCATTTCCGGGGCGGCCCCCGAGGGGCTGGAGCCAGTTTGCACCACAGGGCAATCCTCGGCTTCAACTACGAGTTGTCGTCCAGGCTAACCCAGAGGGGGTATGGCTTGTGAGTGATGGCCTGAAGGGGAGGGGGGATGGACCAGTTCGAGCCCCCCAACACACACGGCATGACCACTCGAAAATAAACATTTAGCTGGTGGTTCGTGTGTTTGGATGGGGGGATGGATCGACGATGGATTGGACCGAAATTGGGGGCGACATGCGTGGGGCCGGATCCGGAAAAGCTCCGAAAATTTGGAAATCTGGCGAGCTTACGTAAATGTGAAATACCGGAAAACTTCCAAAAACCGCGAACTGCTTGAACATCTCGACAACGCCGCATTGGTTTGAACCAAAAACTACAGAAGATGATCGAGGCAATTCCCTAAGAGTCTACGCTAGCTCTCGAAGAGCCGTAAAAAGTCTGAAAAGCCGAGGAGAATAAAAGCAAAAATCGAGCCGACGGCCGGAATTGCAAAAAATTCCTCAAAGATCTCCGCCAGACCCCTGCCCAGGCGCTATGCTCCTAATGACGCTCCGTATTTCAGCATCGGAAACTTGAATTCAGGGTTTTTAAAGTCAAAATTGCCAGGTAGGAGACACAATTTAGCAAAGCAAAAAGGTCAAAAATCAGGCTTCCTAAAAGGAGAATAGAAGCAAAAATCGAATTATCGTCTGGCATTTCAGAATTCCTAAACGATCTCTGCTAGCCTGCCTGCGCTGACGCTACACACCTAATGACACTCGTAATTAGTAGCTCGTATGGAAATTTAGTTTAGAGTTTTTAAAAACCCAAATTTTAAAATGAAAAGAAAACAAAAATTGAAAATTGAAAATGATCTTATACGCTTGCTAGACGATCTCTGCTAGCTTCCCGACGCCGACACTACGCTCCCAATGACGCACGATAAGCTAAAGTGGAAAATTTATGTCGATTCCAGTGTCCAAACCCAAAATCGCAAAAGATATCCGATATGATTTAGTAACGCAAAATTCTATCGGTCAAAAATCACGACGCCTAGCTCCAAAGCACACGCCCCATGCAAGAATCGTCAGGGGAGCCGTTTAAAGGGACGGGGAAGCTGAGGGCGAGCGGGTTGTTAGATGTCAACCCGCAAGCGGAAATGGCCGGAGGGCATTTGTAGAGGGGATGAGAGGAGAGAAGGGCGAGGACGGGTGAGTGGCTGATGGATGGCTGAGCATATTGCGGCCAAGAGGAGCACGAGAAGCAGTGGGATTGATGAGGGCCACCATGCAAAAAGTCACCACAAGTCCACCACACTAGCCACAGCAGCAGCAGCGTACGTTTCCGCTGCCGCTTGGTGGCCATTTGGCACCGGGTGGGGGCTGGGACTAAAACTAGAAATGAAGAAGACGATAGCTAAAATTTTCCGGGAAATACGGACAGCGTAAAGAATTGAGGTAAGCTTAAAAGTTTTGTCGTACTAATTTTACCGTACTATTTTAAACCATACAAATCGCAAAATTTAGCCTTAGAAATTTGACATTAAAAAGTGAAATTTTATATAGCAATATGATTTTTATAGAGGTTTAACGAATATCGTTAAATTCGAAGCAACTGAAATTTTCAGTACCGCCTTATTGCTACTTTTTCTGCAAAAATAACATGAAAATGCCAACTAGCGACCCTAACAAACCCCAAAAAAGTTAGAAAGTCTTCGTTGAAAATTTCTAAAATTAGTAAAACCATTTAACATTGGCCGAAAAGATCACAAAATAAACCGACAATACGACGAGTTCGCGCCAAGACAAAAAAAACCGGAAAATCTCAAAAAACGTCATTTACGATCTATAAATCCAGTAAAACCATTAAACACCTAACTATGCTGGATTTCAAAGTTTCGGGCCGCCGGCAGCAGCGGGAAAGGGAGAAAAGTGAAACCGGATCGGTTGTGCTGTTTGCACAACCCCCCAGTGATGATGATGACGGGCGGCCCGAATCACTGTGGATGCATCCAGGCGGGGGTCACCGGGTGAAGTAGCGACGCGGAGATGCGCGCAAAAAAACGAGTTCAGGAAATTGGGTCAGCGCGTTGGGTTGGTATAAACAAATTAGAGGAGGTATGCTACGCCGAGTTTGCTGGTTCTATCACCTTTAAAAACATGTTGTTGCAACGGTTTCAAAGGAAACGCCGTTAGAAAAAGCCCATTTAAATTTGTGAGCTTGTCATGGCTTTTCGCTAGACGAAATTGCGGAAGGTGTGTGAATGTGTGAGAATAAATAAATAAAAATAAATAAATAAGGAAAGCTCACTAAGCAAAGCTCCCAAAATTTCAAAAAAAATGTTTCGAAATTTCTTGTAGGCGTAAATTCAGATAAAAGAAAATAATAAACCGTAAAATAATCAAGAAAACCGCAGAAAAAAACTTGATTATTGAAACTAGGGGTGGAAAAAATTTCAGAAAAGCCAAGAGCCGACTTCATCTAAAAAAAACTGAAAACATCACAGATTAGTATAAAAAAATTCAGGATTTGCAGCGCATTCTATGCCATTTTCGACCTGCTTTTAACAAGCAAATTAGGGGCGCGAATTCTTAATTGGATAATCACAACTTTTATCCCGTTTAAAGCGAAAAAAAGGAAAACCTGAGTTCAGGTAGGCCAATTTTATCACGAATCCTGATTCTTAAAGGTTATTTGACAGCGTAACTTTGAAAGTCGCGGAAATTTCAACCCGAAATCATCGCAAAATAGCCAACAAGTTTGAAAAATTGAGCTAAAAACATTCGTAACTTTAAACGGTGATTTGTGAGCTCCATTTAGATAGAGTCCGTAGCCAAAACTAAATCTAGTTTTAACCCGAGAATTAGCCAATTTTAGACAAGAAATAACCAAATCCCAGCATTGCAGGGTCACCTAAAAGATGTGTGGACAACCTAGTGGGTTACTGGGGTAGAGTGGGGGTTGGATGGATAGCCGGAGGGCATAGAATGGCCGGCCATCCCCCACGAATCGATAGCCGCGCAGGCTGGCCAAAAGGAAGGAGGGGCCAACACTAGTGCCATTGCTAGCCTCTCTGTACCCATCTAACCCTCCCTTTTTGTGCTACTCGAATAAGACTTGGCACCCAGCAGATGCGTCCACCACCACCAGGACAAAGCCCCCGGGGGCGAGGATCTCTAGGGAAAACAAGTGGCACGAGGAGGCAGCGAGCTGGAACGGCGGGTTACTTCCAAAAAAGGGGTAGGGCATTCTTTGCACTAGCTGCTAGTCGGTTCTAAATTTAGGTTTCACTACGGTAAAACTAAAACAAAAAAGGATTTACTGAAATCGCTGTCAGGATTTTGGATTCTTTGGCAATATCGGGGGATCTATGAGTCCAGAAATGCCTAGTAACATAATAGCAAGTATTTTAATAGTGTTTTTAGTGAAATGGAACTATGTTCCAAGCGGAAAAGTACTTCGGAAAATGTTCCTTAGCTGAAATTTTGGCCGAATCCGCCATTTTTGGTCGAAAAACGGTCGCAAAAGTAAAGAATTGCGTTTATGAAATTAGAAAAAAACAATGAATCTATAGCGGGACGCTAGATAAAAACACTACAAAAAGTCTATGTCTAGCTGTCAAAGCCGCGACCAACGCTTTTCGTTAAAACTCGGGGCAAGCAGCAAAACCATCCACGAAAACACCTAATTACTAAAGCCATGAAAATTCTAAAAATAGCACCGCCAACCTTTGAATATCCAAAATCTCGGGCCATCAAAAACCACGGTACTCGTCGGACCGGAAGTAGGAGAAGCCCGACCGCCATCAGTCATTCTTCTTCCTAAACATCCGCAGCCCGTTTTGAGAAATTCCTCTGTAAAGCAACCACTAAAGCGCGACCACAGCTACTTACACCGAACCACGCTTTATCGCACCAAAGTTAAACCGAACAAAGATAAAGTGCTGCGCGGGTGCCAGAGAAAGGGAGAGCAAGAGGCAAAAAAAAGCGTAGCTCGCTAAAAATTCACATGTATATCACATTCGGGGGGTAAATACATCGGACAAGTATGTGGATAGGACGAGTCGACAGAGTTCACAGAGGTTTGCAGGGAAAAAAGTTCTTGTATATCCACAGTTACACACACGGAGAAAGGTACGTTGGGGGGGAGGCTGAGAAGCATCATTGGCCGCTGGAAAACATTGTCGAGGTAATCGTCGGGGTGGTTGGGTAGGAGGAATAGGGCACGAGGATGTATGTGACGGCGTTCGAAATTTCTTTAAAAATGCCGAATTTCGTAATGTCGAAATTTTAGTACCGAACTTCTCGCAGAAAAGTGTGTGTGTTGATGGGTAAGGCAGCGAGACCTAGAAGCCCGGACTAAAGGAGCTGTGGTGCTGGTGGGTGAGCTGGGCCCAATTTCCGCAATAAAATAGCCCAGCGCATCGTCAATTTCGGGACTAGACGAACGTTAAAGGCACGTGGAAGTCCTCGATATCCAAAACCCCCCTTAGAGATTTTTAAAATCCCCAATTTTTGTAAGACTTCCAAGCGCCCGTAACCTAAATATAACCTTAATTTGAAGCTAGGCCAAAAGGGATCCCTTTGGCAGCGGTGACTAAAAATGGACCTTGTGAATTGCAGGTGGGCAAAAAAAAGAAGGGCGGCAAATTTGCCTATGCACAGAAAAAAACACAAGAAGACTATTGAATGGTACGGAGGGGAGGGTGGAGCACCGGAAGGATGAAGATATTGGCAACGACGAATGAATTGAATAAATGACGTGAAGGCGGAGATGGAGAACATGGCATTTCCTGTGGGTGTGATTCGGTGGCTTCGTAATGGCTGTGTTGCTGCAGGTTCAGCGCATCTGGTCGCTCGCCTGGGTGATCGTCACGTTTATCCCTGCAAAAAGCCGAGAATTATTAGCCGTTAGAATAAAAATAAAGCTAATAAAATCAAGTATTTTTTTTATCAACATGGGACCGCCTAATTTTTTTTCTCTGAAGGATTTTTCGCTGATTCCGAAGCTTAAAAAATTGTTGGTAACGTTTATAAAAACGCTTCAAGGTATTAAAATAGTAACTTATTTAAAAGTCCCTTCGCTTCCAAATAATTTTTTGAAAGCTTTTGCGGCTTTATTCATTTCTATAGATATTCGAGCATATTTTTTTGGAAATTTTTATTAGAGCGACAGTAACGCCCCCCATAATATTTTCAAAACCTTAAAAAGCATTTTTTTACAAAACATTTTAAAAATCAGCTAAAAAATTATCCATAAAATCGACGCGGCCTCGAAACAACAAAAACGAAAAAATCAACGCACCAAGATTCCCGTTTTCAGCAAAAAGTTGAGCGGTCGGCGTGTCGAAGGCGAGGCAATCCGACTGGGAGATGGCGTGGGCAACGCCCTCGTGGATCGAGCGCGGCGTGGCCTCCCAGACGAGGCGACGGCGGTGGTTCGACAGCTCGAGCCTAAAAAAAGGAAATTAACACCGTCATCTGGAATTTCTCCAAACAGTAAAATCCTTGGGGGGTTTTTTTTCGCAACATGGAGATGGGAGCAAAATGGACATGGTGTTTTGTCTAGGATCCTATTTGGAAGAGAAATAGAGAAAGTTATTCTCATTTTCAAAACCTCCATCTTTTCGAAACAGCTTCTCCACTTGAAATCTATAGGATCATATAAAAAAATTCCATTCCCCATTTAACGAACACCAAAATCCAGCACCAACATACCTGTACGTGAAATTCTCAGCCTCCTTCTTGGCGCCGATCAGCTGGACGACGGCGTAGAAGATTTGCTGGGCCTGCTCGAATTTTTCCTAGAAATTCGGAGCTTGAAAATTGCGGAAAAGAAGTTGATACCTGTTTCTCCAAGACGAGCATAAAGTGGAAGCCGAAGCAGCTCTGCATCATCACCCAGTCGACGGCGCCGGGCAGGTTGATGTCGGTGGCCAGGAAAACGATATCTTCGCCTGAATACGAAAGTATATAAAACGCTGGGAATTCGAAAACGCACCCTGGAGCGTGGTGATGCTCTTGTGCACCTTCATCAAATGGGGCATCACGTCCGGGAGGCTGCCCTGCCATTTGCAAGAGGCGCCGGGGCACGGGCAACTGTACGGCCTGAAAAGGGGGATGTTCATGGACTTAAAAAGTAGAAATGGAGTAAGTATAAAAGCAGGTCATTTTGCATTATCGGGGGAATCAGACTTTTATTTTAATGGCAGTTTTTCTAAACCGTTTTTTACTATTCCAAAGCGTGGAAAATTTACAAATTTCTATTAAAAACATGGTTTTCGACCGAAAATGGCCGATTCTTAGCTAAAATTTCTACTTTAAAAATCTTTTTGTTGATTTTAGATAGTTTCTGGTTGAAACACATTTAGATTTTACTAAAAACATTTTGAAAGTATTTCCTGTAAATTAAAAGACATTTCCAAACTAATACAACAAGTCGGTCCCCCGATAATGCGAAAGAACCTAAAAGAAAAACAGTCGCACCTGAACTCGCACGCCTCCTCGTGGTCAATCTTGTCGCCGTGGTGAAAAATTAAGAGGCAACCGGACGTGTTGAACTTGCACGGAAACTTGACCGTGTTCGCAATCTTCTCCAGCCCGAGATTTCGGATGCTGGCTGAAAAAAAATAAGCGTAAATCCCTGAACATCAAAACTTACGCGTGGGTCCGCGGCACGTCGGGCAGCACTGGAGCTTGGGGCGGCAGTTGCTGCAGACGAGATGCCCGCTCTGGCACTGAAGGTACGGGGGCAGCATATAGTCGAGGCAAACGGGGCATTCGAAAGCGGAGAGCACCTAGAAATTGGAATTTTCGGTCAACGCTAAAAAGTTACCTCAGCGCTACAATCCATCGAATCCGACGGGCCCACAGTGGCGACGGGAGCGACGCTTTGCGTGGCGGCGGCAGCGGAATTAGGGGTGGCAACTGGAAAAATAACTTTTGCAGGAAAAGGCGAATCGCACATTATTTAAGTAAGGTTCCACTTTTATTTATCAAAAGCGAAATTGTCATTAGTTTTTAGAGCATAATAAGACAGGAAGAAGACGACTCATCGGAATCACGAAGAGAATTCTCTGCGTAAGCTAAAATTACTCACCAGCCAAAGCACTGCCCTGTACACGAGCCATACTCTTCTGCGTGTGCGGGGTGGCGATGCCCTGAAAAGAAATTTTTTCTACAGATAAGCAAAATGTACCTGTTGCAGCGTCGGCGGCGAGTGGCAACAGTCACGGATGTTGGCGAAATTCGCGCCCGAGCCACCACCTGAAATAACAATAATAAGAAAAAAGCAAATTCAACAAACCTGGAGGCTGACCACCGCCGGGCGCTGATTGCGACATCCCGGCCAAGTGGAGGCGAGGTTCTCTTGCGCCTGAAATTGAGGAATATTTTGAGAGGAATCAGATAGGCGAGGAACTGATAAAGAAAACAAAAGGAAAAGAATGGGCTGGGGATGACGGGGCAAGAGCGGAAGACGGCAATCAAGAAGGAAAATGGGAATGTCATGATGTTTAGCGCGGCGGACCCCAATAACTTTCCGGGGCTGCAAATCGATTAGCAGAGCCACAAGCGGCACACACATGCAACCAGGGGGCCAAACACTCTTCCGAAAAAAGCACTGGAGACACGGGTGGGGCGGGTGTGAGTGTGTGAGTGGTGGGGCAGCGACGTCACAAAAACTGGCATGACACTACTCGATAACGTGAGATGCCCCGAGTAGAGGACAAGTGATCGACCGGGATTGCCCCCGAGAGAATGAATGGCCGTGGATGGGTTTTGGGTTGCACGTTTGCCGAGTGGTGGGGTGAGATTTGATTGTCATCGCGCCCTGCCTAGTTTCCAGAGCACCATGACGCTGCCGCCAATTTGTGGTGCAACACATAGAAAACCTTTAAAATCAAAGATTCTCTTTGGGTTTTCGGTGTTAACAAATTCAATGAAAATAAGTAAAGGCTAGTTCTTGAAGAAAAAAATCATCGTCACTTTGTTGGTCCTTTTAAACGTCTCGACCAGAATGAGAAAATAATTGTTAGAACTATTACAAGGAAGGAACAGCGCACAATTGGCAGAAATATGGCTGGAAGAAACAGCATGATCCCTAGTTTCGCCCCCTTGATTCGAATGGGAAGATCTATGGTTTGAAAAAAAGTGATTTTTGGGGTCCGAGATTGTAAAAAGTGAGTCGCCAACCAAAATGTCAAAGTGATAAGGACGAAGCCGCAGCGCGCCGAATGTTTTCAAAAAATCAGTACTAGCTGAGAGTGATAAATAAATGTATTCAGTGCTAAAAACAATATCGTTCGGCTTCCGGGTCATCTAAAATTACAAAAATTATCGGGAAGCCAAGAAAAAAATACTGTTACTAAAAATCAAGCTAATCTATAAAAAAAGGCGTTTGGCCGGGAGACAATATCCGCTTTTCAAACTTCTTTGCTCGAAATGCTTAGGGAGAAGCATACTGAAGCTGCGATCAGAATAAAAAAAGCATAAAAGTAAGCGTAGAAGAAAAGCGCAAAAATTGTAGCGTGAGAAGCGCAACGTTTAGAAAACAGAATCCGCGCCAGGTTGCGCAAAACTAACAGCCGCCAAGCATGAAAATGATCGATAGCGGCCGTCACAGCAACATTCATGAAAATCCGGCGGCGCTCATATGCATGCAGGGTGTCCGGAAGAAGCGGTAGTGTGGAGGTGAATGGTCGCGGTGTGGTGGTGGAGCCTGAGCGATGGGAGAGAGTGCGGGCATATCCTGGAGACGGAGAGCGGCCAGCTGACTAGCCCCCCATCCGTTGATCGATCGCTGCAGCGACCGGGGGTGCGGCGATTCGGTTGGTGCGTGTGCGCACAAACTGGATCATCGATGGGGCCGAGACTGGAGAGGACTGACTGACTGACTGGCATGCATGTACTCCCCCGGCCCTGTGCTGCTTCTACCTGGAACCGGGAACGCCGGGATGGCGGCAATCGGCTGCCCTCGGTTTGACAGGCCTGCCTGCAGGTCAGCGTGCGAGATTGGTTCTGGACTGTTGGTGTCCAGAAAACCTAACGTTATAACGCTGCCTTATCGCCCTGTAATCTCACCCAAACCCAAAAAGCTAGGTAGGCGGCAGATCGAGCAGATTCTAGATCAGTTGAAAAACTTGTAGGAAAAATCCCTGTCGCGGGTATCCGATCTAGCTAAAGTTTCCAGTCAGCCTCCGACATGGTACGTAGTACACCAAAACACATCAACTGTAAATCGGAAAGAACGGAATGCTAGAGAATTGCCGTTTCTTGGGTAAAAAAAGCTTTGAAGAAGTGATCTAAATTGAAATACGTAGCCCGGTACATGATCATTGCAGGCCACGACCATTCTCTTTCAGATGTCATGAAAAGGGGTAAAAAAAACTGTGCGAAGCCTTGTTCGGGTTTCACGCAAACGGCCTGAATGTCTAAAAACGGGGACGCTAACAAAATTACCTGTATAGCCAAAAGATCGTCTCCGGGTTACGAAGAAGAGTTACGACAGCACCGAAATATCGTAATGGCTCCTTCCTGGCAAATTTTCAGTGATCACCGTCTGCAAACTCGTACAAGCCCTTTTCTCTGCTTGCACAAAATGCTTCACACGCTCCCCCGTTTAGGCTCAATGGGTGTCATTTTATGGTGGAGGACCCTGGAGGACTTTGACTCGGGGGCCCGCCAGTCCAATTTCCAGTCTGCAATCCATCCATCCACCCACACACAGACACTCAACCCAACAACCCCTTCTGCTCGGGAATACTCGCTTCAATCCGATCTACCTAGGCGACACGGCTAACCAACTTTAGTAAACGCTTCCGCTTTTTGTCTGGAAAGGCACTTCCGGATTGTTTTTGTGCGAAAGTTGGGCTGGAGGGCTGCGGGTTTTTCCGGTTTGGTCGGAAGCTATAACATATCCAATACTTTTGTATTTTTTTAATAATATTTTTGTCCAGTTTTTACGTTTAGGACTACTAAAAACAGTTTAGAAACACCTCCGCTTTTATATTTGAAAAAATTGGATCCTAAGAAAAAAATTTGCTCCCCCCCGCCCGATAATGCGAAAGAACCAGAGCTTGAAAGGTTTATGACGGATCAAAATTAAAACGAAAAAGTAGTTAGGTACATTGTTAGAAGAGAATTTAAATTTTAAAAAACATTCTGAAAATTCGATTTTTGGCCATTTTTGACCACAAAGCCACAAATTGGCGAAAATTATAACTTTTTATAAACCGTTCTTATCTAATAAAACTATGTAAAATGCTATAAAAATTGTTTGTATTTTACGGGAAAATTGGTGCCCCCTGCTAACCCCCCGCTAATAGTCCAGAACCAAAAATAGACGGTTATGGTAAAAATTTGAGATGAACAAATCTACTTATTCCCAGACCCTTTTCGACAGGATACGAATGCATTTGCGGGAATGGCGTTGAAATGATGGTATCAGCGTGACCCGATATCGCCCGGGTGTCCCGGTCCTCATCTTTTTACTATCACCAACGTGTCCCTCACTCGCGCATTCCAATCCGAAATTGGAACTGGCCGTTCCCTCATTTAGCCGAGGTCTTGGCCGGATAACCTTTTTCAACGGGGGTGGAAAGATAACCTTTTCCCTCCCGAAAATATCATCATTTCAGCATCGGGGAAATGGAAAAAAGCGGCGCGAGCCTCGAAAACTGTTCCATTTTGATGGCACCGGCACCCCGCGCACGCAACAGTTCTTCTCCAGTTTTACGCCGTTTCCCATCATGAGAGTTTGCGTATTTTTTGAAACGTGTTGTCACATCATTTTTGTTTTTGATTTCGGCTTTGTCGTTAGTAAAATGCGTTAAGATCGGCGGGATAGATTTGGATTTTTGCAGTATTTCCCAAGCCTTGCAGATTTGTTTTGGGTTCTTTTGCATTATCGGGGGGGGGGGTCGGTCGTTCTCTCACACTCTCTATTGCACTCTCTACCGTACTCTCTCTCCCTCGCTCTATCCCTCGCTCTCTCTCTCTCTCTCGTTCTTTCCCCAGCTTTCTCTCGTGCTCGAGAAGTCACAAAAGTGACCAATAAAAGGCGATGATTTTGGAAAAAGAAAGACTAGTTTCTCTCTCTCTCTCTCTCTCTCTCAGCGCGCTCTCTCTCGCTCTCGCTCTTTCTTTCTCTCTCTTTCTCTCGCTCACGCACTGTCTCTCTCGCTTTCTCCCGCTCTCTCTCTTTCCTCCTTGCCTTGCCAGTCCCTTTAAAATCCCAATTCCGTGTTCCCCCATAGCCGACTATAATTTCCAGCACTTTGTCGTAGCCCCTCACTCTATATGACTACGCAATAAGACTTTGTATCCCACAGAAATTGTCCATTTCTGATTTCCATATCACTTTCCCTTTCGTCGACTACAAGAAAGTGCAAATACCGCAGACAGATTTAGAGCGTGGGAAAGGCTCGAAATAACCGAGTGGAGCTGATAGACAAAGAAATGGGTGTACGGATTGGGAAACCCAACCGCTTTTTCGTGTCGTTTAAAGGGGATGGGAAGGTAACAAAAATACAAATTTTATGCCTCACATATCTACCAAGATCTTTAATAAGCTGTTTTAGTGCGTACAATCACATAGTTTGTACCGTATTCTAGCAAAACTTGTGTTTTCTATCGCCTCGTCAAAGTTCAGTTACGCAGTGAGCTGTTTTAAAGGGACCAGGAAAGCAAGAAAATGACAGCTTTTATACCCTTGAATTTTTTAAATCTTTAAAATTCGACGTATTGTTGCAAAGATTATCTGAGCGGCTTAAAGAGACCCTTAAATGCTAAAATAGTGAAAATCTGCGTCATTAAGTACAGTCTCGTAGTGTATACCGTGGCCTGGTGCCAGAGTTCAGTTGCGTAGTCGTGCTCTGTGCAAGGAGGAATAGTGAGCGGCACATCTCCCATTATCTCTTCCTCTTTTCCGTGCCCTATTCGATGCCCTTTCCATCCCATTTCCCCTGAAAAGACAAGACGAAGGCATCAAGGAGGTGTCGGCCCTTCAGAATTTGCCCCTCCAGCCGGGGCCCCGGCCAATTTCACGCCCCCGCAAAACCGGAAATCGAACCGTTTCGTTTTTTGATAGGATTATGTGACAAAAAAAACTTTTTTCGGAACTTTGCACTTTCTTACTTTTTTTACTCCGAAATGCTGGGCATTTTCTAAATTCTTTAAACACCTTAACCAAAAAGTATTTTTGCTGATTTTTTGCTCGCTCCCTTTCTCTCTCGCTCTCTCTCACTCTCTCTCTCACTCGCTCTCTTTCCCTGTCTCTCTCTCTCTCTCGCTCTCTCTCTCGCTCTCGCTCTCTTTCTCTCTCGCTCTCGCTCTCTTTCCCTGTCTCTCTCGCTCTCTCTCTCGCGCTCTCTCTCTATCTCGGCTCTCTTTATGTCCTTCGTTAATTTGGCAATATTTTTGTCCTCTTGCGCTAAAACTATTTTGCTTACGGCGCAGGCTAGCAGAGATTCTTTAGGAGTTTTCTGAATTTTTTTCGCAGTTCCATGACTTTGAAGAGATTCTTATATCAATGGGCTTTTTCCTAAATTTCGTGCTTTTAAATGGACTTCGAAACCAAAAAGCGGCGTCTGCCATCGGCTGGGTGTTCACACCTATATGGTGCTCCAAATGGCAGTTTAGCCTGCTAATAGGTCAAGACCGTCAAGCTTTTAAGCCCAGAAAGTAAGGGATATCACTGTTTTCTGGCCTGTCTCATTGCTGTCGAGACCTAGTCCTCGTTAGGGCTTGGTTTTCGCGCTTTCCGGTTCCTTCAAAATCCTATGGATTCCTGACAAACTCGTGTCTGCCCTCCCCGATTACAACATGTTGATTCGGCGCGGGTTGGCTCGCTGAAAATAGCCTGACTCCTGCCGAATTCAAACAATATTTTTGTAATTTTGAGGGTGAGAAGGACACGGATTTCTTCAGGATTTTTGTGCCGCAGGCTTTACCTGACTTGCGTCATTGCCGTGGATGCGTACAAATTTGAGGGCCCCCGTTTGGGTTCCCGCGGCTAATTTAGGTGGCTAGGGAAAATGGCTGGTTGGGTCGAGTAGAAAAGGCAGAACAAGCAGTACCAACCCCGGCATCAGGTATCGCAACGGAATTTCAGGATTACGGTAGTAAGGATTTTGGCTGGATTTTCTACTGATTCTCTCAGGTTGTTCGTGAATAGTACCGGTCTCTCTCTCGCACTCTCTCTCTCACACACACTCTCTCTCTCTCTCTCTCTCTCTCTCTCTCTCTTTGTCTCTCGCTTTTGTTCTTTCACTCTCTTGCTCTCTCGCTCTCTCGCTCTCATACTCTGATCCTCTCTCGCTCTCTCTCTCACTCTCTCTCTTTCTCTCTCTCCGTTGTCCTAGAAGCCACTCTTCGTTTCCGGGTCATAAAATTTGGTGTTCAAGGGCCCAATTTGCATTTTAATGGGCCCTCTCGCAGCCGTTTTTACGTGAGCTGAACGCTTAACCTGCAAGTAATTATAATTTCAGGCTTTTTTCTATCTTAACAACGGTCTAAATTTATTGAATTTTTGGATCTTTTTGTAACTTCTGGGATAATTTCTCATGATCTCCCCAAATTTACGTTCCTAAAAAACTTCCTTCAGATGATCTGGGAATTACTTTCCCGGATGAACAACTCGAACTCGATCGTCTCCTCCTCCTCTTCCACATCAATATTTTCCGAGGACGGTAGCCTGGCCGGGGTGGAGGTTGGCGTCTCGGCCATTTCTGTGTCGCTCGGCCTTTTCGGGCTGTTCGGCAATTCGAACATCATCTGGGCAACGTGGAGGAATAAGGAGCTCCGGAATAAGCATGGTGAGTATAGCGTCCTTACTTTATTACCCTAAAAACCTAGCGTAATCAAATTTTCAAAACATTTGTTTTCAAAGCGATTTTTGTCTTGCCAATGCCGTTAAAATGTCAAATTTTCCTGAAAATCAGCGATTTCAGGCTCGCTGATGCTGTGGTTCTGCATTCTGCACAACATTTGCCTCCTCTGCGAGCTGGCCTACGTGTTCATCAACAATCTAGGTATCGATTACGCTATGGAATTACGGTAGAGTGATGGGTTCTAGGCTTCTCAGATCTTTAAGAGGTATAAAGATTACCGCCGACTATCTAAGTCTGCGCCCATTGAAATTGTTCGGAAAAACTTTTTCAAAACTTTTCCCAAGGTTTGAACTCGTTGCGGGCGGCTTAATTGTCCCTTTTTCTCTCGTTCTCTCCCTCTTCATCTCTCCCGCTCTCGCTCTCTCTCTCTCTCTCTCTCTCTCTCTCTCTCTCTCTCGCTTTCTCTGTCTTGCTCTTTGTGTGTCTCCCTCTGTCCCTTTCTGTCTCTTTCTCTGTCTCTCTCCCTCTCTCCCGCTCTCAATGCATCGCTTTCTTTCTCTCTCACTTTCTCTCTCTCTCCCTCTCTCTCTTTCTATCTCTATCTCTCGCCGCTACCGTACAGTAACTATACAGTACTGCAACTACCGTAACCCTCCTGATCCTTGCAGGCCTTCAACACAGATGGAGCTCCTCTGATTGTATCCGGCTCTCCACCCCTCATCTAATCGCTTCATGCGCCCAGGCCGTGCTCTCCCTATCGATTGCCCTCGATCTCCTCATTGCCCTCCTCAAGCCGTTTCAGTAAGTGCCAAAAATTCGTCAAAATACCGTACTCCCAGGCATCGTTTCTACGCGCTGAAGCAGTACGTTGCGTGCTTTTTGGTGCCTGCCCTCATTTATGCCCTGTTCACCACCGGCTGGGCGCTGAGCCAGAATGGGCGGAGTACGGTGGGTGTTTTTGATCGTCTTTTTTCCCTGGCATCATCCCTTAAAAGGGACCGGAAGGGCCGAAAATGATAGGCCCGACTCCGATTCTGACTAGGTCTCGACAGCTACGTTACGCGCCAGAAGACGCGAGCGTTTTTTGGCGTAATTCGTCGCATGCCTCATTTTTTATACAGATTTTATGTAACGTCACTGCTAAATGCGCGTTTTTTTGCGCTTAAAGAGACCAGAAGGCGTGAAAATTTACCTTTTATCTAACAAGTCCCAGACAGCTACGCGACACGGCAAATGACATCTCTTTTACCGCTGGATTTTAGAAGCCTCTGGATCCATGCGCCAACCTCACTTTCTAAAAGCTATCAAGGCTTGCTTTGGTGTTTTTTGGCGTCTCGCGTAACTGTCGAGACCTAGCCTGGCTAAGGGGACGATTTTCGCACTTCACTACCTCTTTAAAGCTATTATACTAATTTTCCAGGCCGGCTGGTGCAACGGCCCATTGGCGCTTTCCGGAACGGTAGCCGTTTGGTGGCTATGGTCGAACGTGTTCATCGTGTGCGCCAATGTGTTCGTCTACGCGGCGTTGTACCTGCTGATCTCCAGGAATAGTACGTTTCAGTCCCGTAGACTGCGGAAAGGACACGATTTAGGCATTCAAGCAGACCGGATCCGGCGCGTCTACTCGGACGACAGCCGCCCGAGGCGCTGCGGGAAAACGGTCAGCACGGAACGACGGGTACGTTTTATACTCTTGACGTATAGCTAGTCCGTCTATAGTACAAAGCCGGAAAATTTGAAAAACGCTGCCTTTTCAGGTCCTGCGGAGTCTCTCCGTGCTTCTGGCCGTCTATCTCTTCTCGTGGTTTTCGTATATTGTCGGGATTACGGTAGTCCGAGACTTGCCGTTGTCTCCCGAAAACTCGCATCGTTATCAACACTATTTGGTTAGTTTTAGGCTATTAAAATCCGTTTAAAATGCTACAAAAAAACCAATAAATTCACGAAAAATTGCTGAAAAATGGCGTAATGGAAGTTCTCGTTTTTACCCGCTTTACCGACCATAAAGTGTCATTTGGCGCGTGGTGTAGCTGTCTATACACCAAAAACCCTAGAAAATTGAGCAAATCCCGAACAAAATTGCATTTTTCAGGTGATTCTCGCGCTAATCTGCCATTCGCAAAACTTCTACGTGATGTTCGTCCTCTCCAACACGTACCGGCGGGCATTCATGGAACAGTTGTACATCCTAATGTGCAAAGAGGTGTGTCGCGTCGTCGTGGGAACGCTTTGGGTTTGTGTGTGTGAAAATCAGCAAATTTCGTGGCTGCAACTCCCACAATTTGCACATTTTCGCAGGAAAGGCAGGTGCAAAACGTGAATTTTTCAGGTTCCGGAAAAGTATTGGCCCATGTCGGTGACGGCGTCGCGGCGCGCTTCGCAGAATTGGCAAAAAGCCAGATCGGAGGCGGTGAGTACAAAAAAAAACGAGAAAAACAAACTACGCGCTACAAAAACTAACCACAAAACACCACGTCTATCAGAAAACTACAAGCTACAAAGCTAAAAACATACGCAAATTCTAAATTAGCCAATTTCAGTTTCAGTCTGCCGTTACGAGATTCAAAAATTCGGCAAAATTTACTGTTATAGTTGAAAATACAAGTTAAAAAATTATAAAAACTAACGAAAACTACAAGCAACAAAGCTAAAAATAGACACGAATTTCTAAGTTTGGCTTTAAGTATAAACTTAATTCAGTTGGCCGTCACAGGCGGCTCGCTGCACTCCTCCGTGCGACATCATCGACATCTTTCGGCCAGGCGCACCTCTTCACTTCCGGATATTCACCGGCTTGAAGCCTCTGTGCACAGCCCGGAAGTGTTGCCCAAGCTGCATACGCTCCAAGTCCAGATTTCCGTCGATGCCTAACCATTTTCCACGCGCAAACTCTGTGTTTTTCTTGCTGTAGGAAACGATAGAATGCGAATTTTCTCGGAATTCCAGGAGGCCAACTAACGGGTGTATTTGTGTATTATTTTCCGGTTCTTTTCTATTTCTAGCGGGGAAACCGATTTTTTGGGTTTTTGTTTTTACTTTGCCTAAACGCTAAAACCAAAGAAAAAAGTCGAAACAAGACAAAAATACCGATTTTTCGCGCAAAAAGGCTGCATTTTAGACTAAAATTCTAAGTTTAAATACTTTTTAAGTTTTCTAAGTAGTTTTCGACTTTCAGATGCAGCTAAATTTGCTGGAGAAAGCATTAAATTACTTGCTATGAAGTTACTATACACATTTGTACAAAACGGAAAATTCGGATCCCCGGAAGTGCCAAAGAACCTAATTTTCACGTGTCTCTCTGTACAAATTTGCAATCCATTTATCGATTCTCTCTTCGCGTACAATCTCTACACATATATTCCATGTAATCTCCGTCTGTCTATTTTCTCGTGATCGGGTCTCGTTGTGTTGTTGTCGGTGATGCGGGTGGACTCTCGTCGCTATAAAGCGTGTAACATTTACTCCCGCACGTAACAGTAAACGATTGGCTAACGGTTCGCGTCGTAACAAATGAACAACAAAAGTATGGTGGGGGGGGTAGGGTCAGTGGAGGGGGCTATCTGTTGGCTTTTCCGGGCCGGTTTACAGGGCTTCGACTTGCTCGTTCTCGAGATCGGATAGCGTGGCCTCTTCTCTAAAACAGAACTAGGCGGAATTCGGTAGAAAATAGAGATTTGTTGGTTCTAGACTATTAACGGGGGGGGGGGTGTGTTTTGAGGTATCATGATCCTAATAACATCTACACCCTTTACTTAGCTTTTTTACGCCGTTGCGAAGTCTAAAAATGCAAAAAATTATCATATTTTTCGAAAAAAACTGGGTTTTTTGGCAAAAAATTTACTGAAAATGTTTTTCCGACATTTTAGGATAAAAAAACTACTGAAAACCCTACAAAACTACACGATTTAGCGCAACAAAATTGAAAGGTAGAGGGATAGGGTAGCTTAGCTTTACCACCCCAGCTAACACCCCAGACCCGAATTAGAGAGTGTGAAAAGGGAGGGTGGCGATCCAGCTGAGCTAAACCATCATTTTTTAAACGTAAAAACTTTCACCTTGCGAAAAAAACAACAATTTTTTACGTGTTAGTGCAAAAAGATGGCAGAAAAAAAAGTAGTCGAACGCTATTCTGCAGAAGATAAACTACAGAATACACCAAATTCTGGGCCGTCGCAACTTTAAAAAAAACAAAAGTAACACTCCACTGACCGCTCCTCTGTTCGTGGGGCCTCCTCGTCGATGCACGGGTCGGCGCAGCACAGGTTGTACGCCACGTACTTCTCCGGCATCAGCCACGCCGAGCCGTCCGGGCGGAACACACTGAAAACATCAAGATTTCATCCAAAATTTGCGTTCAAAAACTCACGCATTGGTGCGCAAAATCTGCGCAATGTCGAGCATCGGCCGGACGTGGCGGGTCAGCTTCTGCGAGTGCAACTGCGTCCACCGGGCGAATGTTAACAGTAATCCTTAATTCAAAAGTATAATCTGCGAATCCAGGGCTACCAAAATTGATGAGACCGCCCATGTAGACGACGGTGGTGCTCGAGGAGGTCAGGGGCCGATGGGAGATGATACTAAAACAAAAATATCGTATTTAAAAAACATCTATTTCGATGTTTTACTGCTTACCAGCAAAGCCCCGCCGACACCAAGACGAGCAGCGTGGCCACGAAGCGATTCGCCAGTCCCTCGTTGACCTTGTTGCTCTCCGCGGAGGTGGAGACGCTCGACTCAGTGTCGCTGTTCCTCTTCGGCTGCTGCTTGCCCATGTTGTCCAGCCATTCAGCCTCCGACGGCGAGAGCTTCAGCTTCACGTGCCCACTACAATCAAAAGTGTCGAATCAGGTGCGTATTTTGGAAAATACAAAAGAGCCAATTCTTTATTTTTCAAAAAATAACAAAACGACAACAACCACAAAAAAAGGGGAAAACTCGCCTATCCGGAAACTCGTAATCGCCAGGACGGTCCTTCATTAGAATTCTAGGTAGAAAACAGACTCCCCAAAACCGGAGCGGACGAATAGAAAATATGAAATGAGGCTGGGGATATGGCAAGAAAGATCACCGGGTAGGGATGCAAAGTACTCAAATAAATGTAAAGTTAAATAAGTTTTTTGTATTCAAATTAAAAATTCTAAATTGAACACTTAGAACACGATTAAAGGGAAAAACGACTAGCTTTTGGCAGGGGACCTTAAATCCATTTAAAGCAACAAAAAAATCGCACAACAAGCTTTAGTAGGTTGGGAATTCGGCATCAACTTCTTCGGCCCATTGCTGGTAGCCGCCGATGACGTCGCGGAAGCAGAGACTCCCAGCGTCAACCCGCTCTTTTAGACGATCCTACAAAGATGATTTAGATGAATTCAAAAAATTAAATACCTTCAACAAACGAACGGCCAATTGCGAATCGTTTCCCCGATGGCAGATGAGGATTACTAAAAAGAAAAAAGTTAATAATAGTTTTGGAACGGTATTACCGTCTGTCTTCTCCGGGCAATCGATCAGTTTCTCAAGCTCGTCGTTGGCAGCGTGTTGCATGAGGTCGAGCGGGAGATCTGAAAAGTATGTTTTTGGACAAGGAAACAAGCGTACTTTTGGCTTCCGGCAGGCTGACGATGGCAAATTCGTGTGGCGGCCGCGTGTCGATCAGCAGCGGGTGCTCCTTGCGAATTTCGGCATATTGTTGGACAGTTACGCGTTCTTCTGGGGCCAGTACGGTCAGCGAGGGAGTCTACAAAGCATTATTCATCACATTTCAGAAAGCGGTTCTTTTGAGTTACGGGGCGGGGGGGCAGGGGGTGGGTATTTTTAAATTGCTCTCGTTTACTATTTTTCCAAAATAAATCTGGAAGTGTTTTTTTAACTCGTTTCTACTATTCCAAAACTTGAAAACTATAAAAAATTTATTAAAAATGTCATAAATAGGATTTTTCGGCCAAAAATAACCGATTTTGGACCAAAATCCCGACTTTTCAAAGTTTTAAGTAGTTTTTCTAGTCGAAATATCGCCATTTTTTACTAAAAACACCGTTAAAACGCTTTCTAATAAGTTACTAGACAGTTCTAGATTTATAGAAAAAGTTCGGTACCCCGATAATGCGAAAGAACCAAGGAAGCAACTATACCTTATCAACAACACCTGACCCGCAGAACGTCTCGTAGTCGATGGGCTCGGTGATGGTCGGGTGGTCACTAAAAACTGGGTGAATTGTTTTTGTGAAAACTTGCCCACAAACGGCACAATCCGCCTGCCGTGGTCTTAGCTTTATCGTTCTGCACCGTGCGGCTTGACCGTCGTAGATGAGAAGCTTCCCCGCTAGGGTCTCTAAAGTCAGACAGTCAGCCTAATTATTCACAAACAATCAAACCTGTTGAGTCAGAAATTAGCTTGATGATCTCGAGGGCCTGCATCGAGCCGATGACACCAACCACCGGTCCCATAACGCCACCCTCGCTGCAATTCGTCACAAGGTGGGCAGCTGGAGGATGGGGGAAGATGCAGCGGTAGCAGGGGCAGTTCTAAAAGATTTAAATAATTTGTTCATGCATTTTTCGGTCAAATCAGCGCTATTTCGAAGTCCAAAACTTACATCTCCAGAGTGGTAGATTGTCAATTGGCCCTCCCAACGCAGTGCGCTTCCGCTGACCAACGGTTTGTTCAGCAACACGCAAATGTCGTTAACCAAATACCTAAACGTTTAAACCAAACTATATAAAACCTTGTGAACCACCTTGTAGCCGGATTATCCGAACAATCCGCTACCACGTCAAACTCGGGCACGATTTCTTGCGCATACTTGCCGTTGAGCACTCCTCGGAACGTCTTCACGGTTATCGTCGAGTTCAACCTACAAAAATTAAGCAAATTGGGTTGTTAACAACCTTGTTATCGTGTCCTTCAGCGATTCAACTTTCGGCTGGCCGGCACTCGATTCTTGGTGTCCAATCTGGCGGTGTAAGTTGTCGATGGAAACCTAAAAGAAAGGTGTAATTAAAATAGTTAAACAACTCACCGCATCAAAGTCGACAATTCCGATCGTACCGACGCCGGCTCCAGCCAAATACAGCGCCACAGGGCATCCAAGCCCTCCTGCACCGACGATCAGCACTTTTGAAGTCGACAATTTCTTTTGGCCTGAAAATTTGAGGTTTTAAAACCAAAAAATATACCTTTAACCCCGAATCCTTGCACCAGAAGTTGCCGACTATATCGCTGAACATCCGTTTTCTTCAATGGCTCCTCCATTATGTTTTTTTTTTGCTTTAGAAACTTTAGCAATTAATATTTTTCACGGCAAAAAGTGCTTTCTCATGATCCTCCATTGTTTGCTAACGAGCGGATGTGACCTTTTTTACCGTAGGCCTATGGGCTACAAGGTACGGGAAATTTCTCGAATTCCTTGTTCGATGAAAAAAAGTAACAAAAAGATAAAATCTGTGTCTAGTTTAGGCTTCGTATCTGCATAATGTCCTTTAGCTACTTTTTATTAGTTTCTGCGAAAAATTCCGATGGTAGCGAGCCGCGACAGGAAAAGCGTGAGAACTCTCCTGATGTTATCGCTTTCCATTGCATTTTTCTTTATAAATTTTTCCCTGTTAAACTTGGTATTTTTCAGGTACTCACCGCTATGGCCAAGTGGGGCGAAGGGGATCCACGATGGATCGTCGAGGAGCGAGCCGATGCCACGAACGTCAACAACTGGCATTGGTGAGCATTTTTTGCGCTTCTTTCTACCTGTAGAAACGTTACTTGGATTACGAGACATTTTAGGAGTGAGAAGAACGCTACGCCCTGGTCCAAGAAGCGCCTCGGCGAACTCCTCGAAAACCAGGCGCTCACGGACGGAGCCCTCGTCGTCTCGTTCGGGACGTTCAAGAAGATCGAGGGCGAAGCGACCGCCAACAACCGCAAGGCCAAGCTGATCTTCCTCTACGAATGGCAGCTGGAGCTCAATTTTACCGGTTTGCATTTATATTTTGTGTGTCAATTTCCTGTTTTAGCTAAAGTCGGCGAGTCGATTGAATACAAGGGCCACATCGAAATTCCCAACCTGTCCGACGAGAATGAGGCCGATGAAGTCGAGGTTGGTTTTTTTATTTTATTTTTTGAGAGCCGGAATTTAGTTGAACACTCATATCGAGACGAAAGGCCCCAACGATGCGCAGATTCGCCACTCCTTAGCCCATGTATGAGATATTTTATCAGCATTGATCAGTCACTTTAGAAAGGTTTGGAACACATCCGATCGCTGCTCGCAATTTATATTCGTGAACTGAAAGAGGTGCGGCCATTTTTCTGACTTAATCTTTTTGTTTTGTAGGAGTTCAGCCGGGGCATCATCCTCCCCTCCGACAAAGTGAAACCACAAGTTGTTGTCAAGGAGCGGACCGTGGACAAGAGCGCCTTCCAAAATACCGTTATTGCTGAGAATAAGCCGACCGTTTCCGCTGACGGTAAGACGAGTCACAATAATCCTTTAACTTCTTTCAGCTGGTCCTGTCAAGACCGAACGAGTCGCCGCCACTGAAGTTTTTCGGGTGCCGCCTAGCCGGCTTTATGAATGTCTTTCGGATCCAGCGGTGCGTTTTTGGGTTCAAATTTTACTTTCCTTTTTTTAGCTCGTGAAGGCCTGGGCTAACCCTACGAAATGGGATTTCAAGGTTGACGGTGAATTCGCTTGTTTCGGCGGAAGCGTCACCGGCAGCTTCCTTTCAATTGTGAGTTTTTGGGTGCTTCCTTGATCAACGAATTCCTAGATTCCTAACGAGACGATCGGTATGAAGTGGCGCCTCAAGTCTTTCCCCGAAGGTCATTATGCAATTGTAAAGTTCAACTTGAAGGATTTGGTGCGTTTTCTACATTTTTTGTCTATTGGAGCTCTGCTATTTTCTCGTATAGCCAAATATGCTTTCTTTTTTAGGCCGACTCCACCGAGCTTGAAATCGACGCCGGATTCGTGCCCGTCTCGCAGTTGGAGCAAACGAAGCAAGGATTCGAGCGCTATTACCTCATCAACCTCGGGCGCACCTTCGGCTTTTCTAGTCGCATTTTTTAATTTCACCGATTCCGAGGCCGTGGCCAAAGTTTTTCTTTAGCCCCGCTTCCATCGTCAATCTCATTTACTTGGATCTTGGCCTGTGTGGTCGCGTGTTTGCTGTTTACTTTGAAGTGTTCCTTGTTTTTAGAATTCAACAGATAAATCTTAATTTTATTCGGCATTAACTCGCAATACAATAGCCGAGAGTTTCAGACTTTTATTCTAGCAGTATTTCGGGTATTACGCAAACACAACGCACAGTACGTAAAAGAGGATGATGGTCAGAGTGAGATTTGAGCAAAGAGATCAAAGATATATTGGACGGAATTTTGAGCTGTGAAAGATTCGAGGGCAATGGATACAATGACAAATAAATACAGAGAAACTAGAGGACTAGGGCGGGTTGAGGGGCTTACAGGATGGATTCAGTGCCCGGCTGTGGCGACGGAAGGGGCCTTCTCCAATTCGGCAAAGAGACGTTCAGCGTCGGCGAGTTCTCCTTCAGTCAGATCCGAGATGCTGATGTCGGCGGGGTGCGTGTTTTCAAGGTCGTAGTCGCGTTCCTAAAATTAAAAGATTGTCAAAGTAGGCTAAATGCTAGGTATTTATTTCTCTCACAATTTTTTTGAAAAATTCCAGCCCGCCCGCACCAAACGACTAAAAATTCGAGTGCCCGAAAGTTGATAAATAACGATACCTGAAGCCGACAAAATCCATGGTCGAATTCTTCCAAATTGATCCGTTCCATTTCCCCGTCATCTTCACCGAAGTACTCCAGCGGTTCGGATGGTGTCAGCTCCTCGGTAAGCACGGCCTCTTCTAGCAGCACTTTGCCCGTCGTCTTTCTGGCCGGCGTGATGGGGAAGAACAGGAACTCATTGTCCTTGCGCCCAAACGCCTCGATCGCGTCGAGCCCAGGGCTCGAGGTGCCCGCCTTGCTGATGTGCGGAGTGGTTTTCTAAATCTAATTGAAAAACTGAACCAAATTTCTACCACGTTAGCCTCCAGCTTCGCGTCAGTTGGTCCATCGAAAAGCGTCCTTTCCATACGCCGAGCGGGCGTAACCTGAAAACACAAATAATTGGTCTTTAGAATATTCCTTACCGGCTTATCGAGATTGCGCTTCTGAAGAACATCTCCGTGGTTGAGATTCGTCTTCTCGGCAAGTCCACGGCGAACGACACTCATCTAAAATATTTTATTTGAGTGCACGCAAGAATACGGGAGCAATGGAAAACCTAGAACACGATCCAATCGAACGAATAACAATAAATCAACGGGCATCAACGGGTATCAGAAATCACTTTGTCTCTTTTTCAATAGTCTCCAGAACTTTCTCGGCGTCGGTCTTGGAGGAAAAACGGAATAGGTAGATGGAAATCTCTCCCTCGCCGGTCGGGCAGATTATCCGCAGCTTGGTGTCATCCTGCTTAGCGAGCTTCATCGACGAATTCATCAGCGCATTCACCCAGACGGTTCCGACGGTCGTCGCTGCACGTACGAGCACGCTCTTCTTGCCATCGACGTCCTTCATGTGGAACATGCCGACGCCGAGCTTGTCATATTTCTTCTCCCTGTTCATTTTGAAGGCGGCGCATTTGATGCTGTAAAACGCGTCTGGCTCCTTGTTCTCGACGACTTCAGCCTTTGGAGGGACATATTCACCTTCCTCACCATCTTGGTCATCGGCTTTGGGAGCGTCCGTAGAAGGTCCAAAGGCAAGCTTCACGGTCCCATCCGCCGACGGTGCACTCGACCCGAAGAAGCTCGGGAATGCCAACTTTGGGGCATCGTTAGGCGCGTCACCAGTCTTTGGTGCAGAAGTTCCAAACATTGGGAATTTAGGCCCCTCGGTCGACTTTGCGGAGGCACCGAAGAAGTTCGGGAAACTGGGTGCCGCATCTTTCTTAGTATCATCCCCATTTTGCGCTCCGGCGTTGAACGTGAATCCGCCCAGTGCTGGGGCTGGCTTTTCCTTGGCAGGTTCGTCTTTCTTAGGCTCAGCAGATTTTGCCGGTGAACTGCTGGACGTATCTTCGGCCTTTTTGCCAAAGCCCCAGAATTCGGGCCCGGGTTTCGGAAATGATGGAAGTCCAGCTAACGTGGCGCCGAGGTTTGATTTCGGCTCGGCGGCTTTGTCCTGATCACGGAATACGACGGTTTCGGGTTCTCCAAGTGGTCCGCCTCCCCGCATTGCCCGTTTTCGGCTGGTACCGCTGGGCAAGCTTGCAGACTCCGGGGCCGCAGAGCGATCTGGTGTATTAATTGGCGCGATCACCGAGACGTCCGACAATCGAAACTTTGGGGCATTGGTGAATGGCGTTGACGACACGGCGCCGAGGCCGCTTGAAGTTTTGGGCGTCTCCGAGCTGCTTTGATCGAACTTGCGACGGGCCTTGGCAATGGGACGATTGCCGGGCGTAGCCGTGTCATTTGCGTAGGTATCGTCGAGTGCCTTGACGTGCTGCAGGTAGGACTTGACGCTGGGCGAGAGATCATAGTGAGGGCACGATTCTGTCCATTGTTGGAGCGCTTTGATGAAGCCCTTGTTGAGGGATGTCATCTTTTCTTGAAATTGCTTCTTTTGCCGGTCGGTGGAGATCATCTGAAAAAGAGAATTTAGTAATTTCCGCATATGCAAAGAAATGTTGAAGAAAAAGTAATAAGAATAAGGCTAGATTTGTTCGGGGAAAGTGTTTTAATCAGATTAGCACTATTTTTTAAATGCCATTTAGTATATTTCGCATAAACAACGAAATATTGAAGAAAAATAAATAAGAACTACCGAAAATAAGTCTAGTTTTGATACGGGGAGAGCGCTTCAATCAGATTAGCACTATTTTTGAAAGCGGCAGCGAGCGCAGGGCGCTACTATGCACACATCCCTTTGTGCTCTCATTGCAACCCATGCCCCGGTCAATCCTATGATTCATCAATTGCGAAAGAAAAGTGTTATCGACTTTGGAAAGTTCAGTGCAAGAAATTGGGTCCAACCCGCCTCCAAATCGATGCGAAATTTCATCGCTTATGTGCCAAGGCTTCTCCCCTACCGCTCATTGCCAACGTTTCGACCCTCCCGTTTCGATTTCTAAGCCCCTAAATCTTCCTATCTTGAAGTCTTAAAAAACCATTTCAGATGTCTGAACCCATCGAAATTCCGCACGACCTTCAGACCAACTACCCGGATTCCGTCTGCGACGAGTTCGAGGTCATCCAGCGAGATGTCGGTATGTCTCCACCGGTCATGAGTAAGAACCTTCACCGCCAAAGAAATAGCCGAAAAGCTTTAGGCGGCAATCTGACCATCGATCAGGCCTCGACTGTTGGGGAACCCGGTGAGAATAACTTTCACTCGGCGACCGGAAGCGTGTTCTTGAACGAGATGGCAGAAGATGATCAGAAGAGCAGCATTTCGGAGGTAGGGTTCGCAATGGGAGCTTGTAGGCAAGTAATTTCAGTACCAGCCAGTGCACGGAACCTTCAACGCCCCACGGAAGCCGAGCGGATCGACCAGTGTGCACGAAAGTAAGTAATTTCAGATTCAACTTTGTGGGGGCGACATTAAAAAACCGGGTTTTATTTCAGCTCCAATCATGGCCCAATCGATCGCAGGCTCGCTTCACAAGGACCCAACCTTCCTGTCGGAGCTTCAGGCGCTGATGCAGAAGGTCAACGCTGCTATCAATATGGTAGGTCCACGCAAAAATAGCTATGATTAAAACGATTTAGTCAACCGAAAGTGAGGCCGGCGAGTCGAATCCCGATCTCGAGGAGGAGAACCGCGAGTTGAAAGCAAAGGTTTGACTCTGTTGCCCCAAATTTAAGCTCTGACGTTTTAGCTCGAAAACGCCAACCGCATCAACGCGCTTCTGATGGATAGACTGGGAGAGCCGAAGAAAAGTGAGAGGGTACGGTCCTGTTTTTCCGGAAATTTAGTGAGATTTTTAGATTGATGAATTAACCCGAATCAACCTGGAGATGCATCAGCAAATCGACGCCCTTGAACAGGAAAAGGTCGATTTTGAGAAGCAGCGCCAGCAGTTTCAGGAAATGCTGGCGAATAGCAAGTGAGTTTCAGCGATCTGAGCCTGAATAATCATCATGTCTTTAGCGCTGAACTCAATAGACTGCGTGAGACACACGCGGCCGTAGCTGGCGTCGAGACTGAAGAACTGGTTGAACAGGTTCAAGACGCGCTCGCTTACAGCAAGGCGCTGGAGGAGGAGGTGAGCTTAGTTTCTTTATTTTGATTTGAAAGTGGAGTCGACCGTAAAAAGCTAATTTTTCGGATCAAAGGGACTTTTTTGGGCCTTTTGATAATGTCTTTTTCAGCTTCGCACCCTTCGCAAGAAGTTCGACGATTTGCTCGCCGAGAAGGCGGACAAGGAGGAGATCATCCAAGTAGGCTAACTACTCAATATTTTCATTTTAATTCATTGAATAAGCTTTCATAAACAGCATGGTTTTTGCGTGAATAGCCGCCACATTTTCAGGTGCTACTGGAGGACCACGCGGAGGGTACGCGCCTCCTGGCCGAGCACCGACAGGAGGTAAATGCGCCGAGCTTATCCTCGTTTGTCCAGAAGTAACATTTTACCTTATTTGTTGCCCTAATACCGTCGTGAGAATATTGCCAATTCACTAAAATCAGGGCATTTTTTAAGAAAAGTCTAAAAACCAGAAAAACCCACCCAAACTTTCAGAATCTCCAACTCCTTGACCAGATTCGCGAGCGGAATCTAGACGTCGGCGTCGCGGGCTTCGAGTGAAGCGGCTGAAGCCTGATTTTTTTTGTTTGTTTTTTTTTTCCGTTTCCTTGCCCTCCGATTCAAGAATCTTTTACTCAATTTGTCACGCCGCCTTGATGGCCGTTGTTATTTCAATGGAATGCACATAGTCCCCAAACTGCATCTAGCCATACACCTCTCCAAAAAACCCCTGTCGAGCAGCTGTAAATAAATCATTAGCGCTAATTGTGTAAAAGAAATACACCCGATTTAAAATAACACCTTTTAGCGGGCAAAATAGCAAAATATGATGAAAAGCTTTACAGATTCTACTTCAACTGCACTCCAGTGTGTAGCCAAACCCTTGCAGATAAACAACGCACCGTGAATACGCTTTGAATGACGATTTAGCAGCCGATTCTACGCAGCGCACCATTCGCAGAAACTCCGAACCCTGCGGGCTCATTTTCAAGAAAAACTTTTTTGATAAGGCACTCCAAAGGGCGACCGTTTTTGCGATTGCGCGCATCTGTGCGTGTGTATCCATCGTGTATCGCTTATCGCTCGCAATCGGACACCCCCGTTTTTGGCAGATAAATGAAACGACTGCTGCCGAGCCGAGCATTTCTCGCCGACCTTTGCACGAGCCGGAAAGGTTAGGTTTATCCGATTTCTTGCTTCTTTTCAAATTTTTGAAATCTGATCTTTTTTCGGAATGAAAACTTTCCAATTTCTAGCCTGAAAATTGCTACTGCTTGATCAAGTTCAAGAAGATCACGCTTTTGATTTACTGCTTCTGAAAATGAGACGTAGAAAAGGAATAGGATGAAGAAAAACTATAGCCCGCTCCAATAACCCCCTTTCAGCCCTCTCCACAATGCCACAATACTCTACGAAAGTCGAAAATTCGGCAAAATGCATCGATTTGCGCTCGGACACCGTTACGCTTCCGACGCAAGGAATGCGGGATGTAAGTCCGTCGAGAAGTGGCTTCCTGCTTCGTCTTCCGCGTCGAATGCTGCTATTTTAGGCCATGGCAAACGTCCCGGTCGGAGATGACGTTTACGGCGAGGACCCGACGATCAATGCGCTGGAGGAGAGGTTGGCCTTGAACTCCTTGTGCTTCTTGAACACCTGATGTTCTTCTAGCTGATTTTTTGGCATTATCTAAGATCAATTGGTTACCGTGGAAAAAGCGAATTTCCAGATGCGCCAAAATCTTTGGTAAAGAATCGTCGATCTTCGTCTGCTCGGGCACGATGGGCAACTTCTTGGCGATGCTCGCCCATTGCCAGCGCGGCGAGGAGATCATCGTCGGCAAGCAGAGCCACATCTTCCGCTGGGAGCAGGGCAACTTTGCGCAGTATGGAGGTAAATAGGACCAGAAAAACTCTTATCGCCGTAACTTGCTTTTGAAATATCAATTCTAGGGATCAGCGCGACAACCGTCGAAATCGCCGAGGACGGCACGCTGCCACTGGCCGAGATCGAGGCCTCGATCCGCGTCAACGACTATCATATGCCGAAAACGCGGCTGATCTGCCTGGAGACGACGCACAACTGGTCGGGCGGGAAGGCACTTTCAAAGGAGTACCTCAAGTAGGTAGTTGAAAAGTGGCCAAAAACGAAAAGCTAAACCAAAGGCTAAAAGACCTCTGATTCTAGAGCCGTCCGCGAAATCGCCGATCGGCACGGGCTGCTCATCCACCTCGACGGCGCCCGGATCTACAATGCTTCGGTCGCTACCGGGCTTGATGTTGCCGAAATTTCCAAGTTTGTTCTCAACTCTAGAATTAGAATTAGCGGCTTTCAGATACGTCGATTCCGTGCAAATGTGCTTCTCCAAGGGCCTTGGCGCGCCGGTCGGCTCGATTGTCGCCGGGACGAAGGATTTCGTGGATTCGGTTCGATATAAGCGAAAGGTGGGTGAAAACCCCATTGCCTGTGAAATAACTACTTATAGCCACGGCTATTATCTGCCGTTAGGTTTTTCCTATCTGGAAAACTAGAATTGGATCTATGAACTACACGTTGATACATAAAAAATTTTTCTAAAATGAAAAAATTCTAGGGAATCGGTGGCGGGTGGCGCCAAGCTGGAATCCTGGCCGCTGCCGCGATGTACAGCCTCGACCATGCCGTCGAGACGTGCACCAGGGACAATAAGAATGCGGTAAATCCTATCTGAAAATAGCTACACGGTTTTCCTTCTTTTCGCGCTAAAAACAAACAAAACCGACCCTTTTCTAGGCTATACTCGCTGCCGGCTTCAACGAGCGCACCCCGGCCAATCTGAAGGAGAAGATCCACGCCAACGAGAAGGGCTTGACCAACATCCTAGTCATCCGACTCTCCGGCGGACTCACCCCACCCCAATTCGTCGAATTCTTCAAAAAGCACAATGTGCTCGTGATGGCGTTTGATGAGCGACGGGTTCGGCTCGTGACTAACTGGGGGCTGACAGACGAGAAGATCCAGGAGGTGTTTACGGTAATTTTCCCCAGCTTATCTCCGAGCAACAAAAACCCGTCTCCAATACGTATCAATACGCTCGCAAATTTCAGGTCTACGAAAAATTCGTCGCCTCGTTGCAATGAGTCAAAATCGAGTGCTAGGCGCCAAATTCAAAGCGGTTCAATAAATACGTTTCCAAAACTGTTTTTGTGGTTGTTACTATATTTCAGAAAACGACACAAATTGCACAACGCAAACAGTGTAAATTGTACAAACATCAAAACACCGGGTAACCTTAGAATCCGTATTTCTGCTTGGCCATCCGCTTGTTGTGCTTGGCCTGGGAGCGTTCTTCTTGGAGCGCATCTTCGCGTGCGACGGCCTAGAATAAAAACCTGGTAGAATGAGGTGTTGGCTTACCAGCTGGGCCAGGTGGGTGATCTGGTTCTTCCTTTTTGCCGTAACGTCCCGCACACCAACGGATTTCGGCACATTGATTTTGGAGGCACTTTGGAGCGTGGCTTTCGTCAGGTTTCGCATCAGCGAAGAATGCACGTCCGGGCCAAGGGCCTGTAAAGAATCATACATTTTATACAAAGACTGGCTAATTTACCTGATTGACGGAAAACTCCTGGATATTGTTGACAATCTCCGGAATGCCCATCCCGCTGAATTGCGGCTCGCGCATCTGGATCATGCGATGAGCTTCCTAAAAGTCCGATTTCCAGAACTTCCGGATTCAGCCACCTGATCCGAAATTTTTCCCAGCACTCGGCCCTCGCTGGCGAAATTGGCCATGTTGTACATCTCGGATGGGTGGAGGACTTCCTGAATCAAAATATAAAGCTTGAGAAAAATTCTCTTACGCCTTCCGCCGGTCGTGCTGGGCCCAAGAAGTCTTGTTGGCCATCGGTTGGCATGATCGGGATGGTCTGGAATTCCTCCTCCAGGCGCGCAACCTAAAAAAAATATTCGTATGAGGACCAGAAGAAAACAATACCTTTGGCGCCGGTTCAGAGCGCAAACCGAAGAAATCGGCCCCATCGTCTTCGTCTTCCGAATCGCTATCGGCTTTGCGGATAGGAGCCCGGACGGGAGGAGCGAGGGGCTAAGAATGGACGTTTCAAAAACCGAAAAAAAACATGGAGGTTCATCAAAAGTTCTCCGGTCAAAAAAATAGCTACCTTAACAACCGGCGCTACCGGTTTAGGCGCCGGTGCTTTGCGTAGAGATGCAGGCAGCAAGAGATTTGATTTTCCCGTCAATGGCTTGGCCGCGGCGACTTTTGGGGCCGGCAACATCCCGAGAAGTCCCTTCGCACCCGGTTGTGACAGTGCAGAGGGCTGAAACGCAAAATAATCTAAATCTACAGGCATTTCGTTACCCCTGGTCTCTCCTCATCCTCGCTGTCACTTGCTGGTGCCACAACCGATTTGAGCCCGCCGAAAAGTTGAATCTAAAAAAGAAAACCTTCCAATTTTGCCGAACCACAAACCTGCGCTTTCTTCTTCGGTTTGGGAAGCTCTGTAGCGGCCGATGGGGCTGATGCGTCGCCAGATTTTGCTTCCCGCTCTTTGGCCTCTTTCTTTGCCCGCTTTTTCTCCTTCTTCTTGGCCTTTTTCTCCTTCTTTTCTCGACGTAATCGTTCCTAAAGAAAATAATAAGCCCTGGAGGAAAGCTAACCTTTTCCGCCAATTCTTTCTCCCAGGCTTTCGGCTTCACCACGTCTTCCAAGACATCGCCTTCTTCGATGTGGAAACCCGCTCCTTCGGCATCCTCGTCATCTTCATCTTAGTATCGAAGTACTGACAACAAGTTTTGAAATATACCTTGAACGTCAGCGAAGAAGTCATCAGGAACAGCACTATCCTGTTTCGCCGGCTTTGTTGCAGTGAAAACTGTTTGCTGCTCATCATCCTCGTCCGACTCACTTCCCGAGCCACTTCCGTACGAAACGAGCGCCATTCCGCCTAATTTTTGATTGCGATGCGATATTAATCAGCACGAGGTAACGAAATGCGTGTTTACATTGCGTGCAGGCACAACTACTTGGCAGGAAAATCTTTATTAAATGTATTATTTCATTAAATTAAACGTCTGTAAATGAAGTAGACAAAACCAAGTGATCACAAAAAAATGGGGTAAATAGTGAATAGACAACACAGGAAGAGGGATAGTTACATAGCTAGAACCCAAAAAAAAAAACAGGAAAATTAGCCCCACGCCATGGTGGTGCTATAATGCAGGACTAGCGACTCGTCGGAAAGGCCAAAACAATTACGGAGGACCTGGAAGGTGTGGTCGGGGGAGGGGGCAAAGCTTTGGGCGATGAAGAAGAAGAGGGTTTGGTCGGGGGGTAGGGCCAGCATCTTGCGGACCTGCACGGTGAACCAGGCAATGTCGTGGGAGGCGTCCAAGGAATATCTAAAAAAACAAAGTTGGCGCATAAAGAAGGCCTTTACCTAGTCTTCTTCAAAATCGGCGCATCGCCCACAGGATGGAGCAAGACCGACACTTTATCGGCAGCCATTTCTAAACGAAATTTAATGAAGTTTACAAGTAAATTACCTTAGAAAACGAGTCCCTTGGTGAAGTAGAGCAGCGAGGCGATGAGCGCGATCAGGCTGGCGTTGAAGAGCTTCCGCTCCCAAGGCTCGAGCATATACAGTCCAGATAGGAGGAGGTATTGCAGGTAGAGGTTGCCGATCGGGCCAGTCTGAAAAAAGAGTTCTGATGTTAGCATACACTAGTTACAATATGTCTGCATATATGCATTTTTCCGGAAATTCTAGCCGGGAGTTGGATTTTTTTGCTATACAAATCATTACGCCCTCTAACCCCCGCTGGATGCGCTGATGCCCGTAGGATCTTTTGAAAGACTTTTCATTCAATATATTCAGCAGGACGAAGAAGCGTCCCGCCAAGAGCCGCCGCGCCTCGCGGCTGGAGGCGGTGACAAAACGGCCGAGAAGCCGAGCGGCGACAAGAACGACGACAAAAAGCCTCCAAAAAGCTCGGACAGAAGCGTGCGCTCGGGCCGCAAGAAGAGTGAGTGAAAATCCCAAATTTGCCCTTGGAAACCAATATTTTTAGAGCGCGGCGGCACCCCGGATGGTCAAGCCCCAAAGACGCTGATGGGTCAGATCAGCGGCCTCTGGAAGAAGAAAGGCGGCAAGAGCAACGAGCACCACAGCGGCAAGCACAAGCCGCACAAGCACAGCAAGATGAAGCACCACCACCGCAGCAAGGATACGACCAGCAAGGACGCCAACAAGGACAACCACAAGGATAAGGACAAGGAGCACGGCAGCGGCAAGGACAAGAAAGAGCACAAGGATGGAAGCGACAAAGAGCAAAAAGAAAGGGAGCCGCTGGTAGGTTACTTGAGTAAATAGCGGTAAAATTACCAAAATATCGATGTTACTGCTTGTTAATGTACTCCCCCACACGCCGTAAGTCTAAAGGACCCCAAAACTTGATGAAACAGTAATTTAGCTCGAAAAGAAGGATGGGAAAAACCATGCCACTCTGCCGCCCGGTTCCAAGGCGTCCGACTTCGACCGTCCAGAGGCTGCCGGCACCGGCTTTGTGCTCGACTTGTCGCCGTGCAAGTAGGAACCTACACTTGGCCCCTGAAATCTGCTTAGGGCAAGCCCCTCCGGAACCACCACCTCAAAGTGCGGCACGACCTGCGAGACGGTCGTCAACAAGATGGAGCTGGAAGACGGCGCAAACATGGCCACGCTGCCGCCAGGGGCAAAGGCAGAAGATTTTGCGCGCCCCGCCGATGCCGGCACCGGCTTCGTACTCGACCTAGGACCACCAAAGTAACAGGATTTCCCAAGCTAAAATGTTCCCAAGGATAATGTTGCTAGTTTTGCCTACAACTTTAATAGTTTTTGATAGCTAGGAAATTATGAAAAAGCCCCCAAATTTTGCGATTTAGGGCTGATGGGGCAAAAGGATCGCCGGCTACTGAGACCGCCGGGAAGGGCGGAAAAGTCACTGCGATGGAGTTGGAGGGCGGCGCGAACATGGCCAGTCTGCCGCCCGGCGCCAAGGCGGAGGACTTTGCTCGACCGGCAGATGCTGGCACCGGATTCGTGCTCGACCTAGCCCCGGCTCCCTCCAAGTACTCGAGAAGCTCAAATCTCTAATTTTTGCTTAGAGTACCTTCCGCCGACCAGATGAAGTCCGCCGTGCTGACACCGCCCGACAAGACGGTGCATAGACCGTTTTGCATTTTGCAATTTTTGCTCTTCAGCAGATTGGAAAGCCGGGCCCGTGCAGCATGGCGCCAAAAGGCCCCGACAATACGGCCACGGTAAACCTGCGAAGATTCACCCTAAAATCAAATTCCAGACGGTCCTTGCCGCCGCCGAAAAGCCGCCAATGAAGGTACCGCCCGGGGCTCATCCCCTCGACCTTCACCCGACCCCGCTGGCCGAGAGGGTCAAAGAAGCCAGGGTAGCTCCGTACACAAGTACAATAAACTAAAAAAACATTATAGCCCGGAGTGAGGATGAAGTACGGATGCCCGATCAATGGAAACGCCGATTTTGTGCTGATTTAAGGTACAACATGCATTTCCGGGCACTAAAAACCACAAGCGTTTTAGAGGCCGGCAACCAGCACTGCTCATCTCACGGCGCACCCTCCCCACACACAGCATTCACTGCACTGACACTTAAACGATAATGCAAAATTACGGCGTAGAATTTCCGAGCGGTTTCTTTAATAAATGCATTGCGAGGAGCCTTGACAAGCCTACCAACCTCTTGCGAAAAAAATGACTCGGTCATGAGAATAAAGCGATCGCCAAAGAAAGTAAAAGACCAGGGTTGAAAAACCGCTTCGCGGCTTTTCAACCCTGGCCCCGTCAAGGACCTATGCAAGTATTGCTTTGCATAATTCTTGCCGAAAACGATCAGCAAAAAATGAAAACCACGCCCTCTCTTCCTTTTATAAGCCACCTCCATTTCCGGCGTATGCTAATTTCTCCCTAACAAAGAGGGAAGCCAAGATTTTTACAAAAACTCAATTTTAATAGCGAAAATGGCAATTTTTCAAAGATTTTATGTGTGTGCAGTCGATTCCGGCCCCTTTTTTACCCTATGACGTTTCTTCCCTACCGAAAAAATGCTTCCCTGAGGCTGTAGGTGCGGAACATCCAAACGGAAGTGTATGCAAATATACACACACACACACAAACACTATTTTTTTATATATAGTAGGATAGTAGGATATACCTGTATAACTTCCGGGTTGTCGTGGTCAAACTTGTGCACTTTCGTTGGCGCTTGTGTCGGGGCGACCATTTGAATTGGTGCGCGCTGGCAGGTGCTGCGGGGCAGAGAACGGCTCGCCGTCCTTCTCTACGCCGGCTTTTATCGATCTCCGCCGCTCGGGCCCGAATGATAAGGCTGAAATAAATGGCGTGATAGAGGATGAAAGGGGAAACGATATGGAGAACAAGGGCAAAGGATATGGCGGAGGAAGCATTTACGAATCGGAGGTGACCACCATTGTTTGCGCAACAACCGGCGACAAACTACAAGGACGGAGCATGTAGAGTAAGGTCTAGCAAAAGCCCCCCAAAAAGCTGGAGACGAAAGAAGCATGGGCACAAAGTTCCCTATGACTTCAAGATCCTGGAATGAAAGGTCACGGTGGCCCACGAAAAAAGTATGTTTCTGGCGTCTACATTGGTAAATCCTAACGAGTTCCGAAAGCTAATCGGTTAAAATGTAAGTAGAAAACTTAAATGAATACGCTACTGTGGTGTAGAAGTAGCCGACAATCTCAGCCAAAATGACAAGGAAACACATCAACAAGTGCTCTGATTGCGCTCAACCCGCGTAGCGGGGGGTTAGTGTTGGTTATTTGTCTCAAAAAGGTAAAAAATTTGTGATTTTATAAAAAACTGCAGACCAAACAAAAAAAATGGGTAAAGAATACGATGACACCAACTTACGCGTACGAACACGCCTAATGACGGATCCCCATGGAAAAAAAGAAATGGGCATTCGGCATTTTCGCTTTTCTTTGATTTTTCGACCCAAAGAATTTAGCCATACATTCGTTTTTGTTTAGATCCAATGAGACCCGAGAAGAAGACCCCACGTGGCAAAACGCCTGCGAGCGCAATCAAGAAATCGTCGGCCAGGCCCGTCAAGAAGCTTCCGCACGCCCCCAGGGCACTAAGAAAATCCTCCACGCCGAGCTCCGAGCGCAGCCTTTCCAGGCCCAGGGAAATAACTGCTACGCCAAGTACGCGCTCTTTTTGCAACGAATTCTGTTCTTTAGCCGGCCGTATCAACACAAAAAGTCTGCGGATTGATCCCGCTTCTCCAATGGACATCGGCAATACCCCGAAGAGAGGCTGCCGCCTTGCCCGCACTAACAACAATTCCAGAAGGTAAATTTGTAATGTGACCGATAACTTCTTTTAGTGCAACGCCGGAAAGCATGACGCCAAAGCGCGGAAGGAAGCAAACAGCTTCGGGCATGAAGGCCGTGTAAGGAATCTTTCGATAGCTCTCTATGTCCTTTTTTAGTGAGCGTCTACTGCAAGCCAGCAAGCGCAAAAGTTCCCGTTCGTCCAAGAAGGCCGTCAGAAGAATAACCAGAAGCGAGCAATCACACGACCTCGTCGCCTTCATGAAGAAGATGGACATCGGCGGAAACAAGGCCAAGGAGCAAAAGCCGTGAATGAAGCGAAACAACCCATCAGGCGCATAAGGATAATTACTCGTTAACAAGTATAATAAATTGATTTATGTCAAACACGAGAACGAGTCAAAAATTTATACAAAGCAACAACAATTTATCAACAGTAAAGTTAACGCCGTTTTCCTTGATATCCACGCTTCTTCTCCTTAGGCTTGGGCGGAAGGATGATGCCGTCATACTAAAAAAAGAAAGTAAAAGCGAAACTAGCTTAGTTTACCTTGGATTGGAACCATTTGACCGATTCCTCGCGGTCCACTCGGTGAGAAGGGCCGACGCGGCCTGGGGCACGCCTCCTCTTCGCAACACGACGGCCGGCACGATCGAGGACGACGTAGAAGTCCATGCCGTAGATGCCGATGGACGGGTCGTACTTGATTCCCAGATCGATGTGCTCTTGAACGCCGAAGCCGAAGTTGCCGGATTGGGAGAAGTTTTCGCGGTACAGCTCGAATTCTTTCACCTAAAGATGCGTTGGCCAAAATCGGAAATCGTTTTACCTTGAGCCCCTTTTCCAAGATTTCCTCGGCCTTGGGTCCACGCACGGTGCAGTGGACGGAGATCTTTTCGTTTCTGCGGATGCCGAAGGTCCTGACGGTGTATCGGGCCTTTGAGAAGACGGGCGTCTGTCCGGTCAGTTGTTCCAACACCTAACAGCAAGTTATAGGCCTTTCCAAAAAGTAAATACCTTGGCCGCTCGGGTGAGACGATCTCCGGATTCTCCGACGCAGATGTTTAGGCAAAGCTTCTGGATCTTGAGCTCCCGCATCGCATTTTTCAGCTTCTTTTCCTTGATTTCGGCGGCTTGCTCAGTGGTGGTACCCATCTTCTGAAAAAAGACATGAATGAAAAGAGTCAGAGGCATATATGAAAGTCAAAGAAAACAAAATGAAAATGACGAAATCGGAATGCCGGGCGAAAAAAACACGAAAATGCGAGTGCCAAAAAAAGGAAAGAGGGTGGCAAAAATCCGCGGTTACGCAGTGAAATCCTTGGGGATACGGTGGCTCGAGCGCTGGATAAGATTCCAACCCATTACTGCATCAAAAAGGCGACCAAATAAAAGTAAAATAAATAAAATAACGAAAAGGGTTCAGATTAAATTCCATCTCAATCAGTTCTAGAAATTTAGGGCTCTTGATAGAAACCGGGGTTGGATACTAACAATTTTGAAACCACGCTACCTTTGCCGAATCGCTTGGCTTAGTATTGCTTTTTTACGGGTACCACTACTTTTATTTTTCTAAAAAAGGGTAGGCCTGTCTTACGGCCGTTTCCACGTTAGTGTAGAGCTTGACCTTCTAATATTAGAGCCAATGATTCAGCCTAACTTCCAAAACCGATCGAGCTACCTGACCATTGCGCGTTGATAACTTGTAAATCTCGTTTTATAAACCGTAGATGGTGCCGTTTTAATAATCTAATAACGAAGCATGGTAGATAATGGTAAAATTGGGGCTGTTACGCCACCGGGGCTTGAACTTCGAGCGCTTAGAAAGTTTTGGGCCGTAATTGCTGCGTCACCGTGATCGGTATTTTCAAATTTTCTCGCAATTTCTGAGCGAAAAACCATCTTCTTGAGGACCATTTTAACGATTCCATTTGCAACTAGAGCCCGCGGCGCTTCGAACACAACTACCCACCAGCTACTCACCCATCCATCTGCTCAATTAGCACTCGCCAATGTGAGGGAGGGCGAATATATACAGAGCCGTTCCCCAGAGCTAATCGAATCCATTTTGTGGATCCCCCTTCTTCTTCTTCTGAACCCCGGGGCGAGGTCCCATTCATTGTTTATCCCGTTCCCGCGCGGCAGCTTCCTCTCGTGGATGGGCTGGGGACACGTCGAATTCGGTGCTAATTACCGCACTGCTGACCCCCGGCTGGCAGGCTGCATGGGTTGTCAATTTCTCATTGAGGCGCAGAGTCCTGGAAGTAGTAATCGGAATAAATTTGGGTCGTAAATTTTCGATGATGGCGCAGTTGTAGAGGGCTACTCGGGGATCGGTTTGTTCATCGACGGGGACGCAGCAGAGACTCTTGGAGAAGTCGGTTCTGGTTCGTTGGGGGGGGGGGGGGGGGGGTTAAACCTAATTTCTGTTCTGCTCATCTAACTCATCAAATAACGCACTATTCCAATGGGTTTTTTTTCACCTTTGAGATATATAAGGCTCAAAGAGATAACCATGATTTTCGAAACTTTTTCGATTTTTGGAAAAAATCTGTGAAAAACTGCCCGGATGACAAACCTTTTAAATCTTTAAAACTTGTACTGTATGACTTTTTAGCAATCGGAAACTGCTAAAATCACCAAGAAAATTGTCTAGGCCCCGCTAAGGAACCCGAACCGAAAAGTCAACCTTGATGTTGACAGAAGTGCTTTGGCTCGGGCAAGCTTGCAGCGATTCTGTAAGGTATAAAACCAAAATCAGTGCAGTTGATAAGGTAATTAATCTTAACCCTCTACCTTCCAGGAGTAGACTTTTCGACGAGTCGATGATAATTACTTTCAGCCTTGCCCCCGCATACTACGCGAATATACCAATGTCGTAAAATTTATTTATGGGCCCACGCACCCTGTTTTGAGTATACATTTCCGCTGTCATTGCCGATGGGCTCGGAGTGGGGGGACCCAGTTTGTGCAGCTGGCCTCTGAACGGCTAGCAGCTGGTGGGTTGAAGGGAGGCCATAACCGGTTCGGGTCCGGAAATTCAAGCCGGAAAAGGGCACGTACAGGTAAAGGAGTGATACTTTAAAATCGGGGTCCAGAAACAGCGGTCTAGCAGTAAAAATTAAAATAGGGGTCAGGCAAAAAAAACCGGAAACGCAGAGTGAACAGATTGTGAACACGGCTTTTTGTGAACAGATTTTCCCGATAATCGAGAATTTTGAGGCTTTATCATGTGCGTCAGAAGATGTAGCAGCTCACGGACAAAAAAAAAATCGTTAAAAATCACATTAAAATTAGATATTAGCTATCTCTACGGCTTGTTTTCTTTTAAAAAATCGGCCGACCCGCTAACGCCTTTCCAGCTACCATAATGACGGAAGGTACCTTTTTCTAACTCAATACCTTTTTCTTACGCTTCCCTACCTCTAGAGAGGTCAGCCGCCTGGCCCCCGCAATTTCCATGTCGTAATCGGTTGGCCAGAGAGAGCGGCCAACCCCCCGGCCAGTTGGCCCCGCCCCCATTTTGGCTTGTGCCCCAGTCCGGGCCAATTTTTATCCTATTCATCCATGTGCTCACTCAACCACAGCTCCGGTTTCGAGTTTTATTTATTGAATGCTGTTTATAAAGGTTTATAAAGCCATGAAAAATTCACGTTTAAACGTTTAAATTACTTATTTTTAACGTTTTCTGCCCTTAAAATTTTTTACATGTAAATAAAAGTTAGTTTCGGCCAAAAAAAGATCAGGTATCATTTCCGGGTAATGCCCGATGTTTCTAACCACTTACGCCATGTAATTCGGGGGCTTGACCGGGTCACGGGCCCCCAATATTTGTCCGGGTGGCCCACCCGGCTGCTGGCCCTGTCCAAAAGTTGCACCAAAAAACACCTTAAGCCCCCGCGCTCCTCGCAGCGACACCACAATCAATAATGTAACCAAAAGCGGGGGCCAAACTCGAAAAAAAGGTATTTTGTTTCATTGCGGAATTTGGTGGTAAGAGAGGACGCCCTAATGGCACTTTTTGGTGATTTTTAATGCAATTATAAAATCGATAAATTAATTTTTTTGCCCGAATTTGAGGATTTTTAAGGTCTATAACTTGAATATAACGAAGATTCCGTAAACTAAATTTTTCCGCAAAGAATCCCTGCTAGCCTGCCCCCAAGCTAGCCCTGATTTTTGCATATTTTGACGCGCCAGCCCCACGAAAAACCGGGGGTGGGAATACAATTTCCGGAATGCCCCAACCACCCACCCAACTTTCCCGAGGCCATTTTTGGGGGCCCCATACTTTTTTCGGGGGTCCCCCCACGCGCTGCCGCAATTTGGAGCGAAGTGGAACGCTTCGCTTGGCCAGCGCTTGTGGGCCCCTTGAAACAATTGCTGGGCGAGAAAGAGCAGGGTTTTTGGGGGGTACGAATTACTCCTACAGACGCGGATTTCGGTAAATTTCGGGTGGTATTTTATAAAAAAGGTTGAATTGAGACTTTTACGAAGTGCCAACTCTGTTAATACTTCCGGATTTGTAAAATTTTGGCTATTTCCAGTCGATTTCTTAGTGTTTAACATTTTTTCAAGGTCACTGGCTTTTTTTTAAAGAAATTTGGTAGTTGGTAGCTTGTTGCCTAGGCCAAGCCCAAGCCGAAGCCGAAGCCGAAGCATAAGCCAAGCCTGAGCCTAAGCCACGCCCAAGCCTAAGCTTAAGCCTGGTTCTAAGCCAAAGCCTAAATCTACGCCCAAGCCGAAGCCTACGAAGGCTAAGCCAAACCCAACCTAAGCACAAGCCGAGGCCAAAGCCTAAGCCTAAGTCCAATACTAAGCATAAACCTAAGCCTAAGCTTAAGCCTAAGTTAAGCCGAAGCCTTAGAAAATCCATTTTCCCAAAATTATGCAAATCCCAGCTTGCCCCCAAAAAATTTGAAAACTTTACGGGGTGTTGGCACCACCGGGGCTACTCCCGCATCCAGCCGTGTGTGTGCTAATTGCACGCACTACCCGCCGTACCCCCGCAGCTCTCTCTCTGCCAATCCAATTATTTCCTATTTTGCGCCCTTTTTAGCTTCCGGTGAAAGCGGGGGGCTTTTCATTTCATATCACTTCATATCTGCTTCTCTTTTGATGCATTCAAAAATTCAGTGCTTCATCATCCGGGGGCAAATTTTAGAATCGAGCAGCACCCCCACCCAGCGAGCCTTTGGCAATGTGAGGATGCGACGCTTTTTATGGACCCCAATTTTTGCTGCCGCCATTTTTCTGCTGCTACGGGTCGATGCAGGTGCGTACGGTTTTATTTAATGTAATTTTGTGGATTTTTTAAATTTTGTTATGTCGGTTTTTCTCAATTTTCTCTGCTGGTTGGTCTGGGTTCTCTGAATTATCGAATTTTTATAGACATTTTCTGAATTTTTCGAGATTTTTTAACCCATTGAAACACAGAAACTTGAGAAAATTACAATAGCTACGCGCAAGAACTCGCAACGCTTGGCAATCGACTTGAAAGCGCTAAATTCCGGTTCAATCAAGTTTTTCCGTCTTTTCGAGCTTTGAGCATTTTTAGACGTTATACAATTTTCTAAAAAATTCAAAATTTAGCGAAGCTACGCTCTACGACTAAATCGAGCAAAACGTACTTGGAAAAGTGCCAAATTCTACCTTTTGCGATGGATTTTGTCGGCTCTATTCAAACGATTAACAAAGCCAAGAACCGAAAAAATCCTGTAGCTACGCGCAACAACTGGTAACGCTCAAGATGATCTAGGAAAACTCAGAAATTAAAGCGTTTTTAATTCCCGTGCCAGAAATGGTGTAAAAAACCTCGAAAATCGACGTCTTTTACGCTCAGAATCGTCCTTTCGCCCGAGTTTCTAACTAGCACCGTTCATCAGCGTATTGTCGCGCATTCTTGCCCGCTTCTCGGCCCCTTTAAACCCCTCCAAAAGCCCCCCTAGTTCTGATCCAAATAATTTGTCGCCCCGGCCACCAGCCGTCAATTTGTCTAATGGTGCAGCCTGCCGGGGGGCAGCCGGTTGATCCCCCGGCTTATGCCTCTCCCGCAGGCATATGCCAGACGTCGATAGTATCGAAGCGTAGCGCGTGTATTTGAAAGCCCCCCCTTGCATAAGCCTCCGGAAGGCGCGACAAATAACCTGTCAAAG